CATGTGTTCAATGGAGACAAAAGTACCTATCGCACTGGATTGTTGGGTGTTAAGTGAGATAATATCTGCAAAGCACTGACTCGGTAAGCACATGGCGCACACTCAATACATGTTAGCTATTACTGTTTCTACCACTACCAATGCTAAATGAGATAGTCCTTCTAAGCCTGGAAGGAGAATACCCTCTGTACACACATTCAAGTTAACTGTCCCCACTCCCTTGACTGCTGCAGCCCTGAACTTCCATGGGAGGGAGATGGGCATCCAGAGACTGACAACAGTGACGGGACCTGGATAAATCCAGTGTTAGAGAAGTTGACTCTGTCTACTTACCTCCTCATCGCATCAGGGGATGCTTGTTCAAGAGCCACTAGAGGAAGCCCCAAGAACAGGGTTCATATGGGAAGCAGGCATTCCCGGCCCCAGTCCTCCACCTCCATCCAGCCTCATTTCGTTTTGTTGTTGTTGTGGGGAATATTATTTTGTTTTTTAACTTTTTGTTTTTATTGGGGTATAGCTGATTAACAATGTTGTGATAGTTTTAGGTGAACAGCAAAGGGACTCAGCCCTACATATACATGTACCCATTCTCCCCCAAACTCACCTCCCATCCAGGCTGTCACATAACACTGAGCAGTGTTGCATGAACTATACAGTAGGTCCTTGTTGTTATCGATTTTAAATATAGCAGAATGTACAGGTCCATTCCAAACTCCCTAACTATCCCTCCCCACACATCCTGCCCCCCAGCAACTGTAAGTTTGTTCTCTAAATCTCTGAGGCTCTATCTGTTTTATAAGATCATTTGTATCATCTCTTTTTAGATTCCACATATAAGGGCTGTCATTTGATATCTCTCTTTCTCGTTTCACTCAGTATGACAATCTCTAGGCCCATCTATGTCGCTGCATTAACGCCAGCCTCATTTCCTTCCATACCCGTTTCCCCTGACCTCAGGCTACTCATCCTTTCCCAGTGTATCCCACCACCCACTTCCCTCCCATTCTCCTCCCTGAGCAAGGGAAGGTTCCCCGCCCCCCGCCCCCCAGAACTTTTGCCCCTTTTCTCTGGATGTCTCCAGACAGTGGCAGAAGTGAGGGACCATTTGGACATAGAAATATGCAGCCCAGGTGTCCTTGTGAGCTGGGCCAGGTGGGGTCTAGGTTTTCTGGGGAGCAACAATGCCCTGGTGAGTTGCTGAACATTGGGGCCAGAGAGCAGAAGGGAGAGGAGAGTGGGAGGAACCATGGCCCCCTGCCTGCCTAGGGAGGGAGCAAGCTGAGGGTGAAGGGGGAGGCTGCTGCGGGTGGGGAGTGGTGAACCTCCCGCGGGCTGTGTTGGTAGCCTGAGCACAGGCCAGGTTAACGGGATGTGAGGAGGAAGGGCACTGTGAGCGGCAGCGATTGTGGAGACCACTGGTTAGACAGATCTGGGTCTCTACTCTAAGGCTACCTCCTCAGAGAGGCCTTTCCTAACAACTCTGTCTAAAACAACACCCTCCAGGAGTTTGGGGGAGAATGGATACTTGCATATGTATGGCTGAGTCCCTTAGTTGTCCACGTGAAATTCTCACAACATTGTTGATTGGCTGTCTTCCTATATAAAATAAAAAAGATAAATAGTATCTTTTATTTATTTATTTATTTATTTACTTGTAAATAGTAAAATAATACCCTCCCCCAGTACCCCCAGCTGCTATTCTCTATTTCCTTATACCCTGCTTTATTTTTCTTCATAGCATTTAGCAATGCCTGCAATTAACTACTGTTTATTTGTTGCCAGTATACTGCTCTTCTCCCTAAACTGTGTCATTTGTTACTCTATTTTTAGTACCTTAGACTGGATCCCTGGTACACAGTAGGTCCTCAATAGATACTGGTTGAATGTAAGAGTGAATGAGCACCATTGTCATTACCCGGAGCTACTCCCCTACCTATGGCTGAATGCTCAGAGTTCATGCCAGGTGCTAGGGAGGAGTCAGTCACCCGCTGGTCCAGCAGAGTGCCAGTGTTGCCTTTCTTTTTAGAGAGCGCTCAGTAGCCTCAGATTTGAAGTGATATTGCAAAGATCCTTTCCTGAGATCATATGGACTGTGTCCCTAGATAGGGATGGGATGTTGCCCTTTGTTCATGCCTGCCCTCCATCCAACTCCAGGGGCAAGAGACTTAGTCTAGAGAGGTGAGTTAATAGGCTCTTCCTGGCTGTCAGTGAGAGGATTGTCTTGGCCAATCGGAAGCTGGGGTCCTAAACCAGGAAAAGGAGCCTAGAAGTTGACTTTGTTTTCTTGACATAGGAGCAGGGCCGACTTTTCTGTACTACAATAGAGAAACTCTGTAAGGACTGGGCATAGGCACACTCCTCGAGGTGGAGAGGAAGACCTGTGAACACTCAATCCAAAGACAGTGTGGGTGTGCAGACCAAATAACTAGCCACTGCTGCAGGGACCACAGCTTGGTTCAGATAAAAGGCCAAAGAAGCCACCATTATTTTTCATGTCCAAAAAAGTGCTTTCCTCAGCTGAAGAAGAGAATGAAGTTTCATTGATCACGCATCTGTGAACCTGACTATAAGATACTAGGATGAAAGGTGAAAAATGCTCAGAATCCCAGACATTTTATAGCTGTATAACCAAACATCCACATAATCACATTTCTTACTTTGCAACCAGAGATTTGGTGTGATATAGACTCATAATTGATAATATTCTATGTGTGTGTACGTATACACATATAAATAGTTTTTAAGTTATTCATGTCTTCTGCTTGTAGACAGAATATTTCACATTTTTATAAAAGTATATAGGCTATCGTGGTGTGCTAAAGTTCCCGGGGTAGCAAAGAGTCAGACATGACTTAGCGACTGAACAATAACAACAACATGGGCTTTTGTAAATGATATTCTTCACCTCTCCAGTTTGGTCCAGGGTTTAATTAATTTTCCTTACATGCAGGTATCCTATTCTAAATCTGTGTCCTGATTAGATGTCTCGGCGCTCCAACAGTAAAGTGCACCTTATTTTTCATAAGTACCGTAAGGACTGAGAGTCATCATACCAGGGATCTTCCCATTGCCTTTAAGTAGTCATGTGACTTAGATACTTAAACTCTTCGCACCTCAGTTTCCCAACTCTACTTTGAAGAAACTGGGTTAGTTACTAAATTTTCTTTTAGAGCAAAATTAATCTATGATTCAAGCAATGTTTTAATATAAACACTCTAATTTTTTCCTTCATTGAGAGAAACATGATCTATGTCACCATGGTATGTGGAGCATCTATTTATAGACGGATCAATGTCCAAGTTCAGGAAGAGCAACAAACATCTCAATACATGTTACGATTTAGTTTTGTGGTTGTTGTTTTAATTAGTTGCTTTCTGAGGAATTGAGTCCATTAAGATATTTTATGCTCAGTCAGTATGTTCATTATTTTTAGACAGTATGTTTAAAATAAAGGAGATGACTTTATTTGATACCTTTATTTATATGCAAAACAGCGCACCATTCATGAGATATGAAAAACTCGTCAGATAGAAACCAGATTATATCTATTTTCACTACAAAATATTGCATTATATAAAGCAACAGAGACACAAAAAAACCCTGAAAAGACTAAATTCTTTGGATAGCAGATGTGGTTCTTTTTTTTTTTTTTTCCTTATCTCTAAAATACACTCCTTGTTTTAAGAATTTCACAGCTGAGAACATGAAACATTATCAGGTTATAGACTTTTCTTTTTGGTAGTCACAGAGGAAAGTAGTTCTGAATTCTTTTTTTTTTTTTTTAGGAAAATAACTTAATTTCCTAAAACCATCCCACACACAAACATCACACGCGCACACACACACAAAGAAGCTACTCTCCTTTTAAACAGTTCGCAAAGTACTTTTCAGACATAACTACGGATAAGGATAACAATGCTTACTTTTTAAAAAACTATAATAGTGAAGTGCTAGTGTTGCTGATCTCACAATAAAAGAACCAACAAACATCTTAATATATAAAATATGTTTAGAAACAGGAAGGTGTGGGGAATTTGTTATACAAGTGCAATATAATTAGAGCAAAAAGAAAGACCACAGTATAATCTCAACCAACACCGTAAAAAGTTAGACATAATTATTCCACAAGGAGAAAGTGTAAACACTTGACTATAAATAAATTGGCACAGAGTATCCAAAGTAAAATTATCACCACTCTGAAAAATAAATGTCTGAAAAAAATACTCTACTCCTTCTAACATAAATAAAAATAGGTTGTCTTTTTCTAACTGCACCTATGGGTCCACATGTTTAAGGTCACAAATAGATGTTTTTGGATATATAAAGGGGCACTTCGCTTGAAAAAGCAATCAGATATTAAATTTTCCATTTAAATATGGATTCTCTTATCTCCAGTAGCATCAGACCTTGGGGTTAATCTCAATGTGTCTTTTTAGCCTTACCAAATAGTCTAGGCTTGTCTGTTTCATTTGGATTCTTTTATAACCTTTCTTTTCACAATGGAACAGAAAGTTTTCTGTGTTCCACCTTTCTGTGCCTTAAATCTTTGCCCTGAAGGCGATTCCCTCCCCCCGCCCTCCCCTCCGAAAGTTTGGTGATTTGTCAATTAGAAAAAATAGCCAGATAGTCTAAAGATAAAAGCCCAGACTCTGAGCTTCTGCCCCTCATTCTTTCAAAACATGAAGATCTGTGGGAGATGAATGCAGGAGAACTCAAAGTCTCCAGTGAGCTAAAGCAACAATCCCTAAAGGCATCCTAACACGTGGAGGGGAGGCCTGGAGGTCACTCGTCTGTGTACCTCCAGGAGGTTCGCCTTGCCTGAAAAACACTCCTTGCAGGCCCCAGGACTCCCCAGACAACCCCACCCTTCTGGAGTCGGAAATCTTACAGAGTCGCCCGGCGGACAAGAGAGAACACAGTGTGAGCCTCCTCCCGGTCCAAGGCCTGTGGCCGCCGTCCCGCTGGGCCGCCGCCTCCGCCGCCATCCCCGAGGCGGCCGCCCCGGTGGGCCGCGTTTCACCCACTCCCGGCCAGGCGGCCCCTAGCCGCGACCCCGGCCCTAGACGTCCAGGACGTGGTTGAGATAGGAGATGTAGCAGATGGCCAGGCGCAGGATCTCGATCTTGGACAGCTTCTTGTCCGGGGGCAGCGTGGGCAGCAGTTTGCGGAGCTCGGCGAAGGCCAGGTTGAAGGCCTCCACCCGGATGCGCTCGCGGGTGGCGTGGGCCGAGCGGTACTTGGCGGTGGCGCGCCGGCGGCGGCGCTTCTCCTCGCGGCTCAGCTGCGGCGGGTGCGGGTAGAGCGCGGCCCGGCTGCCGCCCTTGCCGTCGGCCTCCTCCACCGGCTCCAGGTCCGACACGCTGCCCAGAACCTTGGCGTCTGCGCCGCCCAGCGACTCCGGGTCCGAGTGCGCCGAGCTGGGGTGGTCCGAGTCGGCGGCTTGGTCCGGACTCAGCATCATTTTGGAGGCTGAGGGGGAGTCAGAAAAGCGATCAGTAAAAGGAAATGGGGGGGTGGGTGCCCTTCTTTGGATAGGAGCGAGAGCGGGCGGGGGCCTAGCCCGCCGGGCTTCCGCGCGGCCCGGGCCAACTTCCCACGGCGGTCCGGCTCGCTCCTCCGAGCGGGTCCCGCGGGGAGGGAGCGCGCCGAGGCGGGCAGACCCGAGGGCCAAGACCCGAGCCTCCGCCTGGCGCAGGAGCCGGAGAGGCCTCGCCTTGGCCCAGGCCGCATCCCGGACCTGACACCACGGCCTCCGGGAGGCCAAGACTGGCCTGCGGGCCTGCTCCGGGGAACCGCCGCCGGCCAGCGAGGCCGTCACTGGGTTTTGTGCTTCCTTCGACTAAATACAACTTGGCCATTCCGCCTGCCTCACTTCTTCTCCGACCCTGACAAACGAATGAATCCGAACGACGAATCCACCTGGGTTTTGCTGGGGGACGGGGAGACACGGAGCGCGCTTCCCGCCCAGAGGGCCTGGGGCGAAGCCGCGGGAGAGCAGGGCGCCCGCGGGCTTCGAGTGGGCCTGGGGCAAAGGGCGTCCGGGGCTTGAGGAACTCAGCCCCAAGCACAGACGGCCCGGAGTGGGAAGGCTTCCCCGTACCCCTCGCTCTTCTCCGCAATAATCAAGAGATGACTGAACCAACGTGGAGGCTCCTTTCAATAGCAAATGGACTCTTATGCCCTCGCAGGCTCCCGAAGCACCATCTGTCACACAGACAGCTACACACTTCGGGGACCTAGGGACGCGGCGACGTGGGATAAGACAATGCGCCCGCAGTCTGCCGACCACCTCCCAGGAATAGGTCGGCGGCCGGGTGGCTGCACGAGGAGAGAAAGGAGGGAAGGCACGGGCCGGGGTGGGGGGAGGCGGGCGCAGCGCCGGCTGCCCCGGCCGGAGCTGCAACGCCAACCCACAAAGTTCGGTGCTCCGGAGCGCAGAGTCGGGAGCCCGCAGCGGTCCCCGGGCCGCTTGGCCGAGGCCGAGGTAGTCTGGCCTCAGATTCCTCTAAGGATGCGCTCGTAGAAAGGCCGCCGTGCCCGGCTCCTCCTGGGCGCCTGGAGGACCGGCCCCGATTGCGCGCCTACTGGGATAGGGTCGCTCCCAGCCTTGGGGCTTCAAGGAAATTCGGGCTTCGAGAAAGGGTCCAACAGGCAGGGAAGGCACCTGCTGGGGCTATGCGCACCGATCGCGGGCGCCGAGAGGGCGGATCAAGCTGCCAGCCCCGAGCCCCGCGTGTGCGGCTGGGCTGGAGGGGTGGGTGCTAGCCGGGAACAGGTCGCGTCTGCAACGTGCGGGTTTGCTCCTAGACAAAAGCTGGGGCTGTGAGATCTGCTTCCAGCATCGCACTTGCTTAGTTAGGTGCGAATTTGGCTCTAAGGCGGCTTTCATTTCCCTACGAGGAAAACAAGTCCTCTAAGGCAAAATAAAAACAAATGCTCCAAGTGAATTACATGTGACTCTTCGGGCTTTTCACGGACGCGTTTATAAGGAGAACAGCTTACAGCTACACCTTCGCCTTGAGAGGGTATAAATAAATAGGCGAGTAATGGAAAATTACAATAAACCACAACATAGTTGTAGATCGGATGAAAAGTTCCTGGGTTGCCCTCAAAGCATGTTAAATACTTCTCCAGGTGTCTTTTAAAAATATTCATATAGAGCATGTCGTATATGCATTTTGTTTTTTCAGGCATTCATGAAATACTCTATAAATGCGATATGCATAATCTAACTTAGTTCCAAGCTGGGAAAAAAGCATTTAAAGGAGGCTTACCTTGTAAAAGCCCTTTCGATAATCTTTTCTCCAATCTTTTAGAGTTAAAATCCCAGGGAATAGCGGGGAGAAATTCCGAAATATATTAAAAGCAGCAAATATTTATTACATTCAAAAATGAAAAAGCAGCTGTCATCTCGCTGGTGTCCACAGCGAGGGACGGTTATGAATGATTGTTCACTTAGTTGATAGATCAAAAAAACGCCTTTTCCTTTTAATTGTTCTCAAACATTTCGGGAAATTCGTTGTTGTTGTTTTTGTTTTTGTTTTTGTTTTAACGATGTGTTGAAAAGTCTCTTGCCTCTTTTCCTCTTCTGGGTCTCTATAAATAACAAAAGAGATGCAGAGATAAACACAATCACATCAAAGGACTGATTCCTCCACTTTCTAATAGCGGAAGAATCAATAAGAAAGATGGTTAAGATAAGATTCCGCTCCTTTGAGGACTCTTTTCCTTCCCTAATACGGCTGAGCAGAAACTGGGGAGTGCAAGGCAGAGATGTGATCTTGCTCAGAAGTGATTTTTTTTTTTTTTTTAGATAAGGCTTTGTTCAGCTGATGTCTCCCCAGTTCCCAGGAACACAATACTGTAACTCCGGGCTAACTAAGCTGGCCTCTTCCTCTTCCCTCCTTTACTTGTATGTTGTATAAACAGACACCTATTTCCAGTTTCAAAGTCGTTCAAGGCTTGGTTACATCGCCCACCCCCCACCCCCTCCTTTCTTTACCTTGTAGCAAAATATATAGAGTCAGTGGCTTGGAGATGCTTGGAGAAAGGTTGGTGAAAAGTGAACGTCTCCCGGAGTAACAGTGACAGGGAAGCGGAGAAAGAGGCGAGAGGGTGGGAGAGCCAGAGCAAAGAGACAGAGATGCGTGTGTGGCTTCTTGGCTCTCTTGGTACCAATTGATTCAGCCTGGAGATGGTGGAAGAGATAAAGGCTTAAGAAGGGGGATGGAATTTTTTTCCCTAAATTGATATTTAATGGGAAATCCTATTGGACAGAAACCTGGACATGAGTCACTTAATTGGACTTGACATCTGTCACAGTGTGGGAGTTTTCACAGCCCAAATATTTTAGCAGATCAGATTCCCACTGAATCTGTGCCATAAAATATAACAGTTGAAAGCAGTCCATGATAGAAATCTTAGCCTCTAATCAGAATCTCTAGCCATAACCAGGCTATTTCTCTTTTTCCGATTATTGATGCAATGTAGCTAAGTGCAAATAAGCAACATATTGACTATGGAAAAATTCTCTTGTCATATTATAAAACTAGTATCCTCCCTTACAATTTAGGATAATGTTTGTGTCCTGAACATGGAAATATATATTATATATGGTGCCACAATAAACATAGATTTGCAACAACTAACATTTATTGGTGATCATTTACATTTTAAAAGACACTTCAACAAGGTTTGATTAAGCATATTCATGTTTTTGAGAGATATTCTGCCCCTTGACTAATTTTCCCATATATGATTTTTAAAAAGTAAAAAGAAAAGCTTTCAATAGATTAAGTCATTGGTGAAACTGAGAACAGAATCCAGGTGGCGTTATTTCGGGGATCACTATATGATATGATTCTTCTTTTCTAAATATGTTTGTTTTTCTCTTCACCCACTCATTCATTCAGCTTAAAATATGGCATGTTACATGTGTTGATTATTGCAGTTCATTGTTGCTTATTTTAATATGTGAATATTTAGCTGTGTGGCAGTGTACTGGACCAAGCGGTAAACACTCACAAATCATCAGTGTATTCCAGCACATAATACTTTTGCCTCACATGACCCCACAGCCCTGAATTTATATACTTTATGACAAAAGAGAAAATCTACTTCAACTATTTGGTCACTTTGTAGAAATACTGTTATTCACCATCAATTACACATTATTTGGAATCATTTTAGCTCTTTTGATTGTGTAAGTTTAAAAGAAATAGAGTATTGCAGTCTTACCTGTCATCTCTCCAATCCCTGAGGCAGCATCTGTGGAGACAGGAGTCCTCACTTTCCCTCTGTGATCAGTTTTGCCTTAAAAATGGGATTTATCATCAAGAGAGGGGGGGTGATCATTCCATTCCTGGGAGTGATCCTCTGAGTTCCTCATGGCTGCCACCAGTCCTGTTTGCCTTTTCAAACATTTTTCATCCTCTGGGAGATTCCTAGACCAGATGGGGTGGAGTGGGGTCAGGGGGAGCACAGAGTACCTCCACAGAAAATGGGCACCAGCCATTTCCAGCCTTGCCTCTGCCCAGCCCCAGTACAGAATTAAAGTTAAATACCCTAGGACATTTAAGTGAAGGCAGGAACTGGCCACATTTGAGTGGCAATGGAAACAGGTAAATGTATAAATTCCTAAGACAGTGAAGATGAAAGAAGAAGGGAGGTTCCCCCAGTCTGGCTAGGAACAGCCAACACTAAACTTTCACACATAACCATAAGTGTGCAAACAGATATACACCTATAGATACTGGTACTCTTCACCCCCTACCACTCACACAAGTGGTGCACTCTATCAGACTACTACACATTCAGACTGATAGATTGAAAACCTGGTGGGTCTAATCACCATAGCCCATGAGGCAATTGTTAGAGTGGGAAACAACTGGTATCTCTGGATACCCCAGTGTTGGGGGGAGGGAGGAGAAATGGGGCGATCACCCAAGGCAGGCCAGATTCTGTTGTAGCGTGTGGGGTACAGAGGCACCCAGGATGTTTGTAAAACAGAAACACTTCTCCGAAAAGACACCTATGGTTTCGGTTGTACCAGTTTTCTCTCCTATAATAGTGAGGACAACAATCCTGCCCAGCTCACTTCACAGACTAGTTATGAAACTCACAGTATGTAAAGCTGTTTTATAAAATACTAAGCACCAGGCAAATAAAGATATTGTGAATTATTACCCCTAATACTAAATAATATTATTAAATAAGTGGGGAGGTGGTAAACAGTGATTTTAAAAAAATACTTCCTGGCTCTATTATATTCCAGCTGTGTGAATTTAAGGAAGTTATATAACCTTTCTGGACCTCAGTTTTCTATTTGTAAAATGGGAATAACAACATTATGTCATGTTATATTTTTTTTCCAAAGATGAGTTAGATAATCTGTGTAAAGCACTTAAACTAATGCTGAGTTTATTTAGTCTTTAACTTATAAATATATATATTGTTTGGTAATTGTATTGTTGTTCAGTCGCTCATTCGTGTCCAGCTCTGCAATCCCATGGACTGCAGTATGCCAGGCTTCCCTTCAGAGGAGTTGGTACTTCACCAACTCTCAGAGCTTGCTCAAACTCATGTCCATTGAGTTGGTGATGCCATCCAACTATCTCATCTTCTGTTGCCCCTTCTCCTCCTGCCCTCAATCTTTCCTGGCATCAGGGTCTTTTCCAGTGAGTTGGCTCTTATCATCAGGTGGCCAAAGTATTGGAACTTCAGCTTTAGCATCAGTCCTTCCAAATATATAATATTTAATTTATAGTCATGCTAAATAATTGTTAATATTATTACTATTATTCAATATAAATATGTACACAAATACATATTGAAAACAAGAAATATAAATGAAATTACATGAAATATACATATATCCTGTATACTCACTCAGATTGTGTGTGTCTGTGTGTGTATGTTTGTGTGTGTATATATTCATATACATATGGCAACTAACCTAGAGTGATCACTTTTCGAGTATCCAACATAGGTCAAGGGACTTTACATGTATTAACTTATTTATCTTCATCACAAAGCCATGAAGTAGGCCCTGTTGCATGCAAGGAAACGGGGACACAGAGAACTAGTCTATTCAAGTTCACATAATTAATAAATTACAAGGCCAAGATTTATACTCAGGTGGGAAGTATATTCACAAACTGCAACCACTATGCATTATTGCTTCTGTGGTCATAGTTTTCTACACAAAGATACTCATACACAAGACTTATTCACCAAATGAAATGCATATTTTGAGAGAGGAATGTATATACACACAAGGATCATATATAAATTACTATATTTTGCATCCAGAGGTAGTCAGAGAGTCGCAGTAATTTTTTAAAAACTTATTGTGCATCTAACATTGTGCCAGACACTGTGAGACTACAAAGGCTTTATAATGATTTGTTAATTTCACTAGACAGCTATTTCCAATCTATTTTCTTAAATTTTGCACCCCATCAGTAAAAATTTTCAGCATAGGTATCCAGGGTATGTATGTTCATTATTAACAAACCTTATACATGTACTATTGTAGCATATTTTGTAACTATAAGCATATGCAAAAAAGACACTTTAAGAGTGATAATTTTACTCATTAGCATATACAAACCTCTAGCAGCATATTATTGGTAATATATAGTTTTAAGAGCAATAAGCTTTATTTTACTACAGTTATTGGTTAATCCTTTGTGATAACATGACTTGATCTGATTTGAAGTTCAACTTCTTTAGAATCTGTTTTTTGTGGCTAATATGGCAGAAAAAGATACAAAATATAAAATTCAAAGACCTAAATAATATAAAAATTGAAAGACCCAAATTTAAGTTCATCATTGTTTGTGCTAACTAAATTATGATTCTTATCTTTCTATCTCACCTACCAAATATGCCAGAGTGGAAGTGAAAGTTGCCCAGTCATGTCCAACTCTTTGTGGCCCATCCATGGAATTCTCCGGGCCAGAATACTGGAGTGGGTAGCCATTCCCTTCTCCAGGGGACCTTCCCAACTCAGGGATCAAACCCAGGTTTCCCACATTGCAGGTGGATTCTTTACCAGCTAAGCCACCACGGAAGCCCAAGGATACTGGAGTGGGTAGCCTTTTCTTTCTCAAGGGAATTTTCCTGACCCAGGAATCTAACCGAGATCTCCTGCATTGCAGGCGGATTCTTTACCAACTGAGCTATCAGGGAAGCCCTAAATATGCCAAAGTTTTGTTGAAATTTGATTAAAAAATTTCTTTCTAATGTGAATTATTCTTTTTTAACAAATAGGTTCAAAGCCCTGAATCTTTTTATTTGGAAAATACTTTAACAGTTTGGGAATTCCTATTTCCAAGTGTTGTGTGTTCAAAGACAAGAGATTTGGGGATTCTCTGATGGCTCAGCCAGTAAAGAATCTCCCTGCAATGCAGGAGACACGGGTTCGATTCCTGGGTCAGGAAGATCCCCTGGAGGAGGAAATGGCAACCCACTCTAGTATTCTTGCCTGGAGAATCCCCATAGACAGAGGAGCCTGGTGGGTCCATGGGATCTCAGAGTTGGACACAACTGAGTGACTAAGCACACAGCCCACAGCATGCTATTGACAGCTCTTTGTCATCAAAGAAAAACAAAGTTGGAACACTAACCTTAAAGTCAAATAATTCTTTGACTGTTTTGCCATGTGCTAGCCAGCATATCTCTGTGTCGGGCAGCAGAATATACGCTGTCTTCCAGTTTCCTATATTGCAAAGATTCAACTGTAGTTTAATGGACTCCTATTTCTAAAACTAATTACTTGGCTCTATCTTGTACCCTTCTGTCCCAACTTCCTTACAGAAAATTCTTGCATAGGAATTATTTAGAGAATCAATTTTGTGATAGAATCTTTGGCCCCAGACTCTATATTTATTTGAGTTAAAGCAGCCATTTTCTTAGTGGTTATACCTCCACAATTTTTCCATAAGTCATTTTTTTATTAAAGATCAGTTTAGTGGTGAGTGTATCTTCTCCCCTACATTTTACCTTTAATGTCCTCTTAAAAAGAGAAGCTTTTCACATATTTCATTATTGAAACAATTTGTAAAGTACCATGGCTGAAACATGTTAGAAACATGTTCTTTCATCCTGCTAAATAACAAA